TTTCTGCCATTGGGAAATAAATTAACTTGTTTAAGATTCAGAAATGCTGAAGTTGAGTTAATAACGTCATAATATTCATGTTTACTAGTCGATGAATCAAAAAGAATATCATTACCATTCCAGACGAGATGTGGTAAATTAAAATCACCGGCGATGACATAAGATGAATCAGGAAAACGCTCAAAAATTAATTCCAGGTCACTACAATAATCCTCGAAAATACTAAGAGGAGACGCAGGAGGAATATACACACCCCCAACAATCAAATCTAAATCATTATATTTTAAATGAACAAAAATGCTTTCTACAGAAATACTACAAAGAACAGTATGAGCACAAAAATCATTCCTGATCGCAATCAACACACCACCACCACGATGTTTACCCGTATAATCAACATTGCGATCAGCACGAAAGATGCTATAATTATTTAAACTCAGTTCTTCGTTGGAAATACTGCTGCAAAGCCAGGATTCCGAAATAATAATAATATCGTAAACACTAGAATTAACCATTAACGAAAATTCCTTTAATTTTGACCTAAGGCCACCAACATTCTGATAGTAAAAGTTTATTACTTTTTTGAAAAACTATTGCGAAATGAACTTGTTTTGGTAATATAAGCTTGATTGTTTTTATATTTTAAAGTTACGTCCTTCTCACCTTTAGAAACCCTGTCCTTAAATTCACAGCGAATATCATTATTAAAATCACGCTGAAGTTTAGTTAAATCAGGACGAAAGAATTTATCACGATTATGGTTATTTTTGTTTGAGCGGAGAATGTCTTTAGCCATATTCTCATTTTCACAAACTATTCTCAAAGGACGAACAGTGTTAGACTTAGGAGGACCAATGCGAATAACTTTTTGAGGATGAGAAATGATACCCAACGGGGATAAAATAGACATAACCTGTTGTAAATCGTCCGCAACCCTTTGTGCAATCGATGTAGAAGAAGATTCAGGTAAATTAAACAATAGTACATTAGAGCTCCGTCTTTTACGCTCCTCAATTTCGGCCACAATCACACTAAGATCAGATGAATTATTATTAGGCATTGTATTAGACGTCTTAAACGCTGCCCATTCCTCCTGAATTAGTCGTACATTATCCTCAACGGTTGTTAATCTGTCATTGATAGCTTTGAAGTGATTTTCAATAGTTTGTTTAATGTCCTGTTGCACCACACTTAGTTGTTTTATAATGATTTCCTCAATTTTTTCAATTGAGATTATGTTACTAGAAGGCGAGCATTTAGGACAAATCCAAGAAGATTTGTCGTTTATTATTTCAGCTATTTCAGACTCACTCAGTTTTAAACATTTAATATGTGCATGTTTTTTGCATGTACCACATTTTGTAGAAGGAGTCGTAGGGGTGATAGCATTCTCACAAATTAAACATAGAACTGCCATATTAATAGGATAACAAGGTTAGATATAAGTTAGATATAAGTACTTATATGTTTCAGTCTTTTGTGCATTTATTTAGTTTATCTGTGTAAATTGGAGTAATCCGTAACATGATTAATAATAATAAATAATAATAAATAATAAAATAACGCTTTAATAAGTTCGCAAGGTGTGCGAAATATCGCGAAATTGCACTCCACTTTAGACTTTATTTGAAGCGAGATTAACTCTTGCACTTGAATTAACGCGATTAACGCAGCACATCCAGCTCGGTTAAATCTCGTTTAGTCCCGATGCACTTTGTATTCGTTACTAATTAAAGTGCCCTCCAGTGTGTTGCATTTGATCAGCTTTTGTCGTTGCAGTCGCACAGATCCGATCTCCGTCTCCCTACTCATGCTGATGTCCAAGTGTCCCGTTTCAATACCAGCTTTTCAGCGTCTAATTTGATTAACTTTTCCGGTTCCAGACGCACCGGTCCGGTTTTGGCGTCGTAATTGCAATCTCTATCGAATTTATTTAGTGCTAAGTCATCCGTTAAACAAATTTATATATGTGTAGGCGGTCCTGGAACTCGAAACGTGATTTGCTCCAGGTCCTTAGAACTAATTAGTGCGGAGGAGGCGAAGGGGAGGAACGTTATATCATCATCGGCTAGAAAAAGTAGCGTGACTCGAGTGTGTGGGTAACGTCGATCTCGGTGCGAAAAATATCAATATGCACTTGAGGCCGCCGCAGCGCAAAGCGAGTGCACTCGACTAGATGGCGAGGACCACCTCACATTTCCAGCCATATCTGAATCAGCGATGTAAAGCAAATATCTATTACGACAGATCGGATACGTCCAAAAGTGAAAATGTTTTTCCTTTTCAAAGGAAACTTCTCACAAACACTCCGGATCATTTTCTTTTGCAGTTTCCATCAATTTCCTCGGGCTTTGCCAAATATTTTCCGATGTGTCGGCACAATGGGAGTTTTCGGAACAGTCAATCACAATGTTTTACATCATCTTTAAATAACATCCAGGACGCAATTTGGACGAGGGATCGATCCGGGAACACAAAAACTTGTCGGCTGTCGATGTGCGTTAGGAGGTGCAGCTCGCGATCACCGGAATCCTCCAGATTTTATTCGGACTTATCCAGGAGTCGCACGAAGCTCTGAATTTATAACGTTATACAATTTATGACATAAATACAACCCTATTGATCCCCTAAATCTGCTAGGATGTCGGCTGGCAACTCACCTGTCGACACAAACTTGCAAAAACACATGGGGAAAAGCCGCCGAAAATATGGCCAAAGCGCGACCAAATTTCCAACGCGTGGACGTAGTCAGATCGACACCGACGGCACGTCGCTAATAGATTTTTTCAGATGTAATCCCCCCCGACAAGACTCCCTCGACGAAATACACCACTATCCATTAATAATCTTCCTTTTTTCTTCCTTTTGGCGAAGTTGTTTGCCCCGACACCTAATATCGCTCTAATTCGTTCGGCCACGACGAACTACGAGGATTTACCAAGTTTTCTATACGGTCAATACCGGGATAAGAACTGGGAAAAAGTTGGACCATTTCAATGGACACAATTTTCTAATAAATTAGATTCCGGGAAGTTCGGGTCAGGTACACGGGACGGCGAGAATGAAATGTGTGTTAGATTTAATGAAGTTCCGGGTAATTTCTTTTTCTTTTTTGGAGGAGCGAGTGTTATTCGAATTCCGTTGCGGACGATTCGGGTTCTGAGGGCCTCTTTCCAGCTTGTGTCTTTTATGCAAAGGTGAAATTGCCGCCGGCGGTTTTTTCAAAGTAAGAACGTTGCTTCAAAGAAGAGGTTTTTAAATAAACATAGGCACGAGTCTTGCGAAAGCGCACAAAAATTTCGGGCTTATGGACGCGAAGTGAGCAAGCGTTCGTGAATGTCGCCATTCTTATTACGTCGGAATCGAATTCGTGCTTTCAAAAACTCCGAAGAGGGGGTGCGTCGTGACGCGATCCTTCTTCGTTGGACACAAACGACGAGTTTTACATAAATTAAATTAAATAACTAGCAAACTTTGGGGGACTTGGTTCCGCTGCTTTGCCTCAGGCGCGAGTTACGTTTTGACGTGTGTCACACAAAAGCTCAACGGAGCTCGCGGAAAGAAGCGTGGCCTCGTTTTAAGACATCGCCAAACTTACTTAAGAGTCTCGAACAAATAACGGTTGATTTAAATTTGACTTCAGTGAAGGTCCAGAGAGTCGGAATTTGCGTCCGGTTTTCTCGACTGTGAGAGCAAAAGGGTAGATGTTTAATTTATTCGGAAAAATCAGCAGTGCCAACAGGTCGAGCTAAAGCACTTGGGAGTGAACCGAAGATTCATGGCTGCCCCAACCACAATTAAAAGGATGTGGAAATATTCCAGTTCCCGTTTACGATTAATAATCACGTGACTTTCTCATTAAACGAGAATATCGGTCGTAGTCTCTGGAACTAGATTCATTATTATTCTGCTATTGTCTCTCTTTCTTCTCCCATAGTATCCTTTTCCAGCTCTGAGTGGGATCGCGGCAGCAATCTTTTCGCGTCTGTTTTTGATTGTTGATCGCTCGATCGCTCAAGAATGTCGCAACCGAAGAAAAAATTGCGTGAGATGAAAATTAACATATTCACCAACAACTTGTTTTGTCAGCGAGACTTTATCAATATTTGCCGAGGAATGTTGAGATATGCTCGGTTATTAATAGAAAGAATGTCTTGTAAGGTCAACAGACCAAAAAAGATATTAAATTCCTCCTGTTTAATCAAGTTGTTTATTCTCCGTGTAGGGTTGATTCCAATACTGGGAGGGTAATTCATTATGTATGCTATTATCGTGATCACAACATTAATTGTTATAGAAATAATTCGATAATTTTGTGGGAGTGCGTGTAATTCCCTGGCATTAGTCGGCGTAATGTGATTACGTGTAGTTCCAATGTAACAAACAAGAGATTTCAGCCTCGACAAGACGTAGGCGTATTAAAGCGTTAAAAATTTTTATCGCATTATGGACTTTCGGGTCGTTTTTTAAGGCCGCTATGACAGCGAGTTTGCCTTTATTAAATTTAACAGTGCTAAATCAAGTCCCCAGATCTTTTCATTTGAAACAGTAAATCCGACTACAAAAGCTGCCCAACAAAGGTTGTTGCTGCCCACTCTAATGTTAAATACTTTATTCCAGAAAGACTTCCAAAATTCTCGTTGATATCCCCAGGCTTCACCTGTTAACAAGATGCGGTACACACAGAAAAGTTTTGTGACGGTCAGTGAAGTCTGAATCTGCGCCCACTCCCGCCTCGAAATTAAGGAATAACTGTTTCCGCTCTTAACTCAAGTTCTGTTAACTCGGAAGCAGCGTCCCCTACTGTGAAGTTTCCCCTTCGTTCCAACTAAGTGCATTAAAAAAAGATTACAATCATATTTTACTGTACTAAATATATAGTTCGTTCCATGTTTAATTCCGGAGAAGGCGCGATTTTATTTAAGATATTTTCTAATGTTCGCATTAAGTGTGCCATAAATATTGAAAGCTTTATCGTGGTGAGCCCCAGGAGGTGTTACCTTGGGCGGGTGCGTAAATGTTCAGGTAGAGGCAGTCCTCGCTCTGGTTCTGGAGGTGCGGTAGCAACCTCTTGAGGTACTCCAGCCGTCCCTTGGGCATCCTCTTCAGCGCCGCCGTCTCGTTGGCGATGTCCGGCAGCCGCTGAGGGCAGACGGGGCTGAACTTGTCAGCGATCTTCACGCCCGACCACAGCGCCCCCGTGACCGGGGGCATGAACCTGAGGCTGCCCAGCGGCGGGCTGGCGTAGGGGATGCCGCGGAACACCTCCACCGGCTCCAGGTGCTTGGAATCCAGGGTCACGATAACGCCACTCACGTCACCGTACTTAGTTCGCACCGTGCGCGAGGTCAGGGGCGCCCGCTGGTCGGGGCCGGCGGGGTCGCCCCCCACCGCCGCCGCCGCCAGCAGCACCAGCACACTGTTCACGAGGGAGCGGCGAGCCGGGGCCATCTTCGGGGGTGGCGTCTACGACGGCATGCTGACGACGACTGCCCCCTACTCCCCCCACATGCCGCCGCCTAGAGCGGGAGCGCGCTCGCTGCCTTCGGGACCGGCTCACCGGTAATTAGAGCAAACATCGGAAGCACTCGCGCTCGCGGGAACGTTGACGTCACGCGCTCGCTGCTGCAGGCTGACTGGCGTCGCGAGCGTCGGGACGCCGGCCTGCGCACTAGCGCCGGCCGCGCGCAAGTGCGGCCAACGCCAGAACTAACGTTCGATTTGCTAATTCGGAAAGAAAGTGTGTGGAGTTTTCGTCTTCGGATGATAATTAGGGGTTTTTGCGGCGAAAGGGTGCCGCTGGTGGGGGCGGGGGACTGGGGGCAGGTCTCGATGCGACAAGTCTGCAATTGGCGGCTTCTTGCACGGGGAATTAGTAAGATAATGGCTGGTGACGGCTGCGGTATCGAAAATATCGTAGACCACCATTTAGGCGGTTGATGGAAACGAGAGGGGACTAGAACTATAATTCTGGGGTGGGCTGTTTATTAAAGTAATTGTAGGGTAAACGCCCGGAAACGCTTCGACGAGGCCCGATTAATTTAAGGGCTGGCAGTTTCTTAAGGCCACTTTTACAAGATCGCTAAGAAGCACTTGGTTTAAACTACCATGGCTTTTATATTGCGGATTCGGTGTTTTTGCAAAAATAAATGGAGAACATTTCACGTTAGTTTTAATTTATTGGAGCAATCCAACCGACTGCGCCATTTTTGAACACTCTTTTAGAAATGGCTTTAAAAATGGCGCAGTCGGTGGGACGGAATTTATGTGCCACAAATTAAACATCGGCGTTGTAAGATATAACTATAAAATTTTCAAGTAAATGAACGTTCTTTGAAAACAAAACATGATGTTTCGTAAGACTTTCGTTGTTTACGTTTCTTGTGAATAGAGAATATTTTCCATTAGCTCTAATTTATTAGAGTAATCCAATCGACTGCGCCATTTTTAAGCACACTTTTAGAGATGGGTTTAAAAATGGCGAGTCGGTGGGATTGAACTTGTGTGCCTGAAATTAGACACTCGCGTTAAAAGAGAATCCATCTCTAGCTGTTAAACTTCGAAGTAACTGATCTTCCTTTTCAAATACAACGTATCGTAAGACTGTCGTTGTTTACGTTCGTTCGTCGCTTTAAATAGACTCGAGCGATGTCCACTTTTGGAATGTCTTTTTTTGGCAAAAAATTGCATGCGAGCGTCGATCACGTGACGCCCATTCCGCTATCGCATCGAAGCGAGCCGGCGATAAGCCGATGTGTTCAGAGAAATGCGAGCCATCCGCATGGAAATTGGACCTAAAAAATGCCCACTTCAAGTGGAAAAAGCGCACCATTTTTAAATGCAAATAAAATTCATCTTGTTTATATTTTATTTCCTTTTGGTGGGCGACCGAGCTTTTTTCATTACGACGCCCGCCGGCGTTCCGGCGTGTGCGTAACGACATCGACGTTTCCAATTTGCGTCTAATTTAGAGCGCAAACATGTCCCCGCAAGGAAACCTGTCTCTTATGCTCCTAATCCTAATTACTTTCGGCCCGAAGACCCCCTTAGACCTCATGCGTGAACGCACCGGCTCAAATAGCGCTTTTAAATATTTAATCTTCGTCCGTGCGCTCCTCTTTTGCGAAAATACAACTAGGACTCGTTCCTGTATTTCTGTCGGCGTCCCGGAGCATCGGTGCGTCGCGGCGGCGTTTGCTCTTTTGTTTCGAGGCCTTTTATGCCGTCGACACGGTTTTTAATTGATTCCGTAGCGAGGACGCGTATGGCGAGTGAATTTTTATTGGTCCTTCGAGCCGGACGAAACGGTCGAATTGGAAATTTCGACGGAAGCCCGGCCGATTAGGATATGAAAAGTGCGCTTTTACGGGCGGAGGTCTGCGCGACGTTTCGGACAGGGGAAATTGATGGCGCCGGGATGCACGAATGGGAAATGATTAAAATCTGCACTTGTCAAAGGGCGGCGAGGAAATGGCAGTTGGGAAAAATAAAATGTGGGTTTGAAACTTTGTCGCCAGACGACATTGTTTTAAAATGTTAGCGCCGGATTCGACGACGCGAAATTAACGTCGGTAAGGATGCAACTTTTGTGTTTGATAGCGTTGCGGGAAAAATTGCCTCGGAGATGGAAAGCTGTTTATCGAAAGGCGGAGATGTTAAATAGAACGAACGCGATTGGCTTCTCTTTGATCAGCGCACTGTTAGTTTTATTTAGGTTCTTTTGCAGATAGTGCAATTTATAAGCGGCGCAAAATTGGCGCAGTCGGGAGGATTGCAAAAGGACGTATAAATTGCCTGAAATGATTCTTGTTTTTTTGTTGTAATATGTCATTAAAGTAGAATTTCTCGTTTGTCAGTTTTTTCGTCGTGTTAGATTAGAACTTCCGCTGTATGACTTCGATAAATCTTGGGTTACAATTCGTGCGATACGACGAGAACAAGACATCAGAAAAAATATTTTATAATTGTGGTAATACGGCAAATCCGTTTCGTTTTCTTCGTAACGTGTCATCGGGGTCGATCTCGTTCGTGCCGAATCCGCCCTAAACCACTCGGACGTGGCAGTTCTGAATTAGAATGTCCGTTGGTGAGTCCTGCCCCGTTTTAATAAATATTTACGCGGGTTTGGCATTAGTCCGCGCGATTGGACCCGAAAACGCTCTCGCAATACCGCGCCGACTTTGAAGTCGAACTTTGAAATCGTCGTTAATCAACTCGTTCAATGGGTTTTCCTCGCTATCGGCTACTTTGATGGAACCCAGAGTCTTGTTTTATTCTTCTGCTTAATAGCCCGACGTAAAAGTGGGGCTTCGCTCCGCATTGTGCCCCTACTTTCTGTCTTGAGCTAATTTTGCAGCGATCGCTAGATTACGCCTAATTGGAAAGGGGGCACTCATCGGTTCGAAAACTGCGGCGCGGTGGCGTCTCCATCAAAGCCGGGCCTTTATTAAAATTTTTTCCTCGAGGATTACCGGAACACCGAATACGAATTAATTAAACAGGGCGCGCACCGTACAAATTCCTGTTTGCTGCAGGATTGTTGATGCCGATGTAACTATTAATTAAGTATTTAACGGGTCGTTAGTGCAGCTGACCAAGTACAGTGCGGGGATATCGGCGGGAAACTAGCAATTAAGCGATAAATCGCGCTTCGATCCGGTGATCTCTTTCAATTTCCGCTTCTCTTTTTTTTTTTCAAATCTAATTCCGTCGAAAATTGCCGGATGAATTTATTTTTCGCAGCTCGCCCTTACCTTGCATTTAATTACCGAACTTACGGAAGAATACCGCTGACGAGCGATTAAGTTTAACTGATCCAAATTAGATTAGACCGAAAGGGTAGGGGCGAAACCCTCCTCATATTTTCGAATTTTTAACGAAAACGACTCGGAACAATACAAATTTTTAAACAGTCGGGGTGTAATTTCGTTCCGATGTCGTAAATTATGAGGGCTGGTGTTTAACAGTTAATTAACGTTTTGGGTAATTTTTTGCTCGCTCGGTCTAAATTTAGATTTACCTTTCGGTTGTAAAGTGAAGCATTTTAAATTTTTCTAATGAGTTTGGACGTTCTGTTAACAATTTCGTTTTAATAAAAAATCCAAATTAAACTCGCGACGGGCCATATTTTGCGGCTTTCAAATCAGTCTGGGCGTAAACGAGAATTAAAAGAACGGCTGCTCTGCGTTGAGTTTGAACGACCGAAGGCTCGAAAACTGTCGGTGTCTGCGGTACTCGGTGTTAAAAATCTCATTTACGGTTTAGCTAGATTGTAGATTTTTTAATAACAAAGTTCATGTTGTAAACTAGTGGGACACTAGCTTGTTAATATTAACGAGGTTTAAATGCAAACAGGAAGAAACATCCTAAAATAAATATAGAGTTTCGCTAACGGCAATTAAATTTGCAATCAATTATTAATTTAAAATACATTTTAAAGCGTTGTTTGTTAAATTAAAAAGACTGCACTGGTGACACTAACAGCAACAAAAACAGTGACTGTTTACCGCTTCGCTGAAATTATGCCTCATTATGACAGTTCTCATTTGTAATTTATCTCATTTGTAACCTGTAATTTAAGGCGTGTGGTATTTATCGTGATTTAGTAAAGTCCAAAATTGAGAGGCGGCACGTTTCCATGACCTACAACACAACGTAGTAAGAGTTTGTTTGATCTCACAAACTGCTGAAAAACGTGCTTGTGTTATGTCTGCATTAATGTTAAATCCTTTGGATGTTTACTGACATCGCGTAGATTTTCCAGTGGTGGATTTGGAATTGCGAGTCTTGTGTCAGATTTCCAGTGGCCAGGTGTTAAAGTGTCGGCTGTCTGGGCTAAGACGCGTTCTATTGTTTTAGGGCCATCAGTGCGCATTACCGTGTTTGTCATTTATTGAATTTCGCGTTCGTAATTGACAGTTTTGGAGCAGTGATTAGAGCGAAAGCGTATATCACGGTTCGTCGAGCAAAGTTAATAAATAAAAAGCGCAAACACCATCAAGGTCGATTTTTGTCCGTCGCACGAAATAATACTTTGTCGCTTGTAATCAAATACTGTTTACTGTTTACCCTTAATGAAGTTGAGAAGTCGCAACCTCCTCCTCCCCTCCATTATCCCCCGTGCGGAGACGGCAACTCGGACTGACAACTTGTAACTCAATATCGGAAAAAGCTGTCATTACCGACGATATTTCATCAGATAATGGGTTTACTAGAGATGATTTCTTTATTTAAGAGCTCCAGATACAATTTATTAACGTCCATGTCAAAATACAAAATCACGATATAGAATGCTAATGGATTTTAAATGAAATGAATTGATTCTGGAGTCTTTAACGCCATTACCGTCCGCTCCGTTTTATTTCTTTGTTTCGGCTCCTCTCGAATAATTCCTTTAATGATTTTTTTTTCCCAAACGAGGGGAGTTCCGATCCATACGTCCCTCGTTCCGACGAGATTTTTT